GTTTTATCATAGGTATATCGTATTATTCTTGAATATAATTGTTTAGTCTCAATATGTGAACAATTTATTTATTTATTTTTTACAAAGATGTTACATTTTACACGTGTAACTAATAACGCATTCAAACGCTACAGACTTCTAGGTCAGGGAACTACAAATCCCAGCATTAACCTCAGACTTCAGACATGGCCACCGGGGGTAATACCCCACAATACTCATGCATGGTAGCGGTCTAAAACATTGGACTTCTAAATATACGCCTGCTCAGATACCCTATATAAAAAGACTCACATCTCCGCACTATTTGTTAAGTATACGGTCCGTCCCTGTGGCGATGTTACAATTTAGTGATGTTAGCGATGCAAAGTCCGATTCATTTTCGCGAACCAATTCTTTCGGGGAGTTTGGGTCAATGAACCGCATTAAAGAACCAATTCGTCAGTTCCTTTAGTCATCACGCAATGATGTCAGTATACATTTCTTTTCTAACAACTCACTGACATGTTATATCAATGAATCATTCAAATAACGTTATCTGTGTGAACGCATATTGCAGATTACTGTCTTACGTTCATTTTAGTTAATGATGTTTCTGGTCGCATTTTCATGCATTGATCCTTCATGTTGGATACGAGTCACGACTGACCAATTTTGACTAGCCTACACATAAAAAAACGCGGATATGTTCTACATGTATAAAGTATAAGTCTATAGAAAGAATAAAACATACTAATAAACTCATTGATTTAGCATAACAACTTTAAAATATAATCTGCATGCACGATAAACCATACACTCTTAAAACTGATAGTACACAAAAAATGTGTAAAAGGACTGATAACACATTAATGCAATGTTTTGGTTCGTGTCTTACACAACTGCGTGTTACTAAACAATTTTTTATTAAGTTTTAATATAAAATATAATAGTTTGTTTACAATTTAGATGCTTTTCTTATGAAATCACACAAAGAACCAATATTTGTGAGTCTTTTTATATAGGGTATCTGACCAGGCATATATTTAGAAGTCCAATGTTTTAGACCGCTACCATGCATGAGTAT